TCCTCCTCCTCCTCCTCCTCCTCCTCCTGTTCCTCCTCCTCCTCCTCGCCTTGGGGCGGGGCGGGGCGAGGAGGGGCCGAGCCCGGGGCCAAGCTCGGGGCGGGGAGGGGGCCAGGGCTCGGGACGAAGGGGGGGCCAGGTCTGGGGCGAAGGAGGGGGAGGCCAAGCTCGGGGCCAAGCTCGGTCGGGGGGGGGGAAGCTCGGGGCCAAGCTCGGGGCCAAGCTCGGGGCCAAGCTCGGGGCCAAGGCCTTCTCAGAAGGCGGCGGGGTTTCTCAGAAGCCCCCCGGCCTTCGGAGAGGTGTCCGGTGTTTTCGGGGAAGGCTCAGGAAGCTTCTGAGAAGGCCGTGGGGCTTCCAAGCCTTCTGCTCTGAAAAGGCCTGCCCCCTCTCACTTCCCCCCCAATCTCGCAGCCGACGAGCGGTTCGCAGGTCGTTCGCGGCTCGGGCTAATCTCGTCGGCGACCCCATGCACCGCGCGGAGACAGCCGAGCGACTGCGGCGGGCATGGCCCGATATTGTCCGCAGGTTGGTGCGCGCCCCGTCGCGCGAGTGCTGGGGGCTTGCGAATGGGCTGACCTCAGCACTGACTGCTGCGCCCTTGGAGTTGGGCGCTGGTCCACCACCGAGGGCACCTCCGACGTGGCACAGCCACGCCAGTCGAACTGTCCGATCCTACGGCGTCCCCAGGCGGCCCCGGAGCAGGCAGTGTGTGGGACGCCAGCTGGCGCGGCGCGGCCAAGCACTGCCTGTGGAAGGGCCCCGAAGACGGAGGAGGAGGGAAGGAGGAGGAGGAGGAGGAGGAGGATAGGAGGAGGAGGAGGAGGAGGAGGAAGAGGCGGAGAGGACGGAGGAGCAGAGGAGGAGGGGAGGGGGTGGAGGAAGAGGACGAGCAGGAGGAGGAGGAGGGGAGGAGGAGGAGGTGGATGAGGTGGAGGGAGCAGGAGGTCGCAAGGAGGAGGGACGGGGAGGAGGATGGAGGGACGGGGGAGGAAGGGAGGAGGAGGAGGGAGGAGGAGGAGGATGAGGAGGGGGGAGGGATGCGGAGGTGGAGGCGGAGGGAGGATGAGGAGGAGGAGGAGGAGGAGGGCGCGACGTGCTGCAGCTCCAGGCGCGAGCTGCGCAGTCTGCGCGGGGCGCCGGCGGAACGGGCCCCACGGAAGGGGCTCGGGGGGTCCGCGGCCACGGGCGCTTACCATGCGCGCGCCAGGCTGGGAAATGCGGGCATCTTGGACGATCCCGAAGGCTTCTGCTGCGCCGCCCGTGTCAGGGTCGCCGCGCCGAGACCGCCGCCCATCGTTACACACCCACGGCGGTCAATCTGAAAGCCGCTATTTCGTTCTGGCCCCTGCAGTCTTGCTGTGGCGCGACCTCTCGTTTGGCATGTCAGCGGCTGCGCTCCTTTTTGTTGAGCCCCAGATCAGCTGTACACTTTCGTATCTCGTGTTTTTTTCTTATGGTCGGCCGTGGGCGCACGGGGGGTGCGAGGCACGACGCCGACGCCGAGTGGACCCAGCTCGCCAGAAGGGGCCGTCCGCCCGCCACCACCGAGGGAGAACGTTCGAGGGGGACTGGCGCAGGGGGGTCCCATCGAGCCGGTGTCAGGAGGAGGAACAGGAGGAGGAGGAGGCGGCATGAGGAGGAGGAGGAGGAGGAGGAGGAGGAGGAGGAGGAGGAGGAGGAGGTTTTTTTTGCTGCAAGAACGATGCCTGGCGGTCCCCGCCCCAGCTCGCCACAAGAAGGCAGGATAGGCGGGCACTCCGCCACGGGGTGCTTCCCGCCTCTATCCTGATTCAGTCCATGAGGCACTCCCAGAAGGCGGCGCACTCCTCCTGTACCAGGGAGCGCGGTACCGCCTCCAGGGACACCTTCACTGCGTAAGGATTTCTGCCTCGGCGCAGGAGCGAGAGGCGGTACCCTGCGGTGGGGTTCGCTGGGGCCCCTCCGCAGGCACCCAGGAGCTTGCACCCCCTCTCGCTCGAGAAAACACCGCACCGATCGCAGAAGGTATATTGGCCCACGCGGTGCAGCTCGTGTCCCAGAGCCGCACCGCGAAGGGCGGGAGAGATGTCTCCTTCCCCCTCCCCCCGCCCCAGCCCGACTCCCCAACGACGATCCACCCTCATCTTACCCTGGCAGGGCCTGCGCGCCAACGCGCGCCTGGTCTTGCTGGAGAAAGCCTTGCGGCCACACGTCGCGCATCGCCACGCCCCCCTCCTCCAGAGGAGGACGTGAGCGCGGGCCCCCTCGGGCGGCCCTTGCCGCCGTCGGCGGGCTCCGCTGGAGCCCGCGGCGGAGGAGGAGGAGGAGGAGGAGGAGGAGGAGGAGGCGGCAGGAGGAGAAGCGCAGCTGGGCAGCGTTAGAGCACGGGCGCAGCGCCGCCAGGGGCCCATCCTGCTGGACGACCTGCCTCCGGAGCCCACGCACGAGGACGGCCTCCCGCCCCCCCCTGGCCGGCTGCGACAGCGCACGGTCGGTTCGCCTTGCGGCTGCCCAAGAAGAGGAGGAGGAGGAGGAGGAAGAAAGGAATAGGAGTAGGAGTATCAGTAGGAGGAGGAGGAGGAGGAGGAGGAGGAGGAGGAGGAGGAGGAAGAGGGGGAGAAGAGCAGTAGGGAGTAGGAGTAGGTTATGAGTAGGAGTAGGAGTGGAGAGGAGCGGAGTAGGAGGACGAGCTGGAGCGAGGAGCAGGAGTGAGAGAGGATGGAGGAGGAGGAGGGGAGGAGGAGGAGGTAGGAGAGGTAGGAGGACGGAGGGGAGGAGGAGGAGGAGGGGAGGAGGAGGGAGGGAAGGAGGACGAGCAGGAGGCGGAGGAGGAGGAGAGGAGGAGAGAGAGGAGGAGGAGGAGGAGGCGGATGGAGAGAGGGGGTGCTGCAGCTGGTAAGGAGGAGGGGGGAGGGAGGAGGAGGAGGAGGAGGTGGGAAGGAAGACGAGCAGGAGGAGGAGGAGGAGGAGGAGGAAGGAGGAGGAGGGAGGGAGGGAGGTGGAGGGTGGTAGGGGAGGGAGTAGGAGGAGGAGGTGGAGGAGGAGGAGGAGGAGGTGGAGAACAGGAGAAGCATAATAATGAGGCGGAGGGAGGAGGAGGAACAGGTGGAGGAGGAGGAGGAGGATGAGGAGGAGGAAGAGGAAGAGGAAGAAGAGGACGAGCAGGATGCGGAGGAGGAGGAGGAGGAGGAGGAGGAGGAAGAGGAAGAGGAAGAGGAGGAGGAAGAAGAGGACGAGCAGGAGGAGGAGGAGGAGGAGGAGGAGGAGGAGGAGGACGAGCAGGAGGAGGAGGAGCAGGAGGAGGAGGAGAAGGAGCAAGAGGACGAGCAGGAGGATGAGGAGGAGGAGAGAGGACCCGTGTTTGAATCAACCCTACCTCCAATCTCCCTTTACATAGGCCCCTACGACGGTTCATTTCCACTGGGGGAACGACCTCGATGGAAGACAACCGTTTGAAGACCCTGAAGCATTCCATAACATTGTGATTGGGATTCCAACGCCACGGATCAACCTGAATGTTGCGTCTTGACGAGCCGGAATCGTGCCAGAACGCCATTCTTGGGACGGCAACACCGCGAATCAACGTAATTGTTGCGCCCTCAGAATCTTGACTATGGTTCGCTGATCATGGGAACCCGTGAAACTCTTCCAACGTTTAAAATCGAATGTGCGCGGCGCTAAGGCGAGAGCCGCATGTTGAAAAGGAACCGGTCTCAATCCGTGAAGCTCTTGCAGTGTTTGAACGAATGTACGCGGCGCTAAGGCGAAAGCCACATTTTGAAAACGGGTCGCCCTCAGACCGTGAAGCTCTTGCCAATTTAAAAAAGGAAGCGCGCGGCGCTACGGCGAGAGCCACACGGCGAAAACGATCCGCTCAGCATCTGTGAAACAGTTGCCAAAGTCTAAGCTTCAGGGTCATAAATGGTAAGGAGGTCTCAGGCGAAACGCCCGGCCCGCCCTAAAAACGAACCTCGGGGTGCGACGGGGAGAAGTGAATGATAAGGAAAAGGCATGGGGGAGGAGGATGAGAAGGAGGAGGATTAGGAGAGGAGGAGGAGGAGGAGGAGGAGGAGGAGGAGGAGGAGGAGTAGGAAGAGGACGAGCAGGGGGAGGAGGATGAGAAGGAAGAGGACGAGCAGGAGGTGGAGGAGGAGGAGGAGGAAGAGGACGAGAAGGAGGAGGAGCAGCAGGAGGAGGAGAAGGAGGAATAATAATATTAATTATAGTAGTAACCACAACATTAATAAAAGTATTACTACTCATCATAACAAGAAGAAGGATAGTAATACTACGGATAACAATAGCAATAACAAGACGGTTAATAATACTGAAAAAGGAAGAGGAGGAAGAGGACGAGCAGGAGGATGAAGAGGAGGAGGAGGAAGAGGACGAGCAGGAGAAGGAGGATGAGGAGGAGGACGAATGATAAGAACAAAACATAATATACATTACGTCTAAGAAGAAGATGAGGACGAGACGAGCAGGAGGAGGAGGAGTGAGAGGAGGACGAGGAGGAGGAGGAAGGAGACGAGCAGGAAAAGAAGAAGACGAAGGAGGAGGAGCACGAGCAGGAGAAACATAAGGAGGAGGAGGAGGAGGAGGAAGAGGAGGAGGAGGAGGAGGAGGAGGAGGAGAAGGAGGAGGAATAGGACGAACAGGAGGATGAGGAGGAGAGAAATTATTAGTCAAAATACTCACAATAATAATAACTACCATTCTTGTTTTGTATTGTTACTCATCATAGCTAGAATACGCAGAAGATCGTAATTCTATTAATTAATAATACTGATAGGATGAATCATACTTCGAATCACACGAATATTAATATTGACATTATGGTTAAACAGAAGAGGAATATTACACATGGTAATTGTACGATTGGAAACACTATTCAAACAATAATCTAATAATAACCAGAAGAATGCGGATACTAATAATTATTCATTGCGTGGAGCTTCCCATATGTATATCTAGTCGCATTGACCTGTCCGCCGTGAGAGTCTAGGCGCAAGAATTTTCGAATATAAGCGGGCCTGAGTTGTGTCGGTTTGGTCATGAATCTATGTTCAAACGGATTGGAACGTGAATGAGTCTCGGTAGTATGAGCGCGTATCTGCGCATGAGCTTGGGGCTCCTTGGGGCCTCCAGAAACCTCCTGGGCCTTCCTGGGGTCTCCAGGAGCCTCTTGGGGCCTCCTGGGGCCTCTGGGGGCTTCGAGTGGAATCCTGAGGCCTCCTGGAGCCTCGCGTAACCTCCTGGAGTCTCTTGGAGCCTCCTGGGACCTAGGGGGGATTCGTGCCCCAGGAGAAGCCCGATCTGTAGGAACAGACGTACATGAAACATTGCGGATTGGAGCCGCAGGAGAAGGGCAGTCTATAGGAGCACACGTAAAACACCAAGGCCTCGTGCCCCAGGGGGAGGCCCAACATATAGGAACAGACGTAAAACATTTAGGATTGTATACACAGGAGAAGGTCTAGATCTATCTATATACATATAGAAGCATACGTATAACATCAATGATTCGTGCTCCAGGTGAGGCCCAATCGATAGGAGCATACGTAAAACACATGGGATTTGAGCCACTCCTGTTGCCTTCTGAGGCCTCCTGCTCCTGGGGCCTCTCGAGGCCTCCTGTTGCCTGGGCCTCCTGGCGCTTCCTGTGGCCTCCTGGGGCCTCCTCTGGCTTCCTGAGGCCTCCTGGAGCTTCCTGGGGCCTCCTGGAGCCTCTTGGGACATCCTGTGGCCTCCTGAAGCCTGCTGGAGCCTCCTGTGGCATCCTGGGGAGAATCTGTGCCGACGAGTCTGGCCACCAACAGGCAAACCGATCGAGACATCCTCAAAATCTGGCCCCCATGGGGGGCGAACATCCGAAAGCGGAGGATGTTGGCGACCAAAACAGGCAAACCGTCTGAGCCATCCCAGCCATTTGGGCGCGAACGGAGGCCGTGCAATACCCCTGGCGACCCCCCCTTCGGAGTGCTACACCAGCAAACCGCTCGAGACATCCTCATCATCTGCTCAGCGTCAGCATCATCCCCATACTCATCCACGAATCATCATCCGCGTTCATATAATTTTCGCTCTCTCTATCATCATCATCACCATCATCATCAGCAGTCATCATCATCATCATCAGCATCAGCATCATCATCATCATCATCATCATCATCATCATCATCATCATCATCATCATCATCATCATCACCATCACCATCACCATCACCATTATCATCATCAGCATCATCATCAACACCAGCATCATCGTCATCAGAGGAGGAGGATAATGAGGAGGAGGAGGAAGAGGAGGAGGAAGAGGCGGAGGGAGAGGACGAGCAGGAGAAGAAGGAGGAGGAGGAAAAGGAGAAGGTGTAGAATGAGGAGGAGGAGGAGGACGAGGAGGAGGGGAAGAGAGGAGGAGAACCCAGAGATCCGACATTCCAAACAAATTAGACAGGCGGGGTTTTGACACTTTTCGGCCTTCGGGGGTCCCTCGCTGGACCTCGGGCCCGTCCAAGAACGATTCAGGACGAAAAGCTTGCCCTGGGGAAGTGGTCCAGACCTGCAGGGCCCACGCATCGAACAACCTTGGAGCAGCCGGGCGTCTGAGGAGGAGGAGGAGGAGGAGGAGGAGGAGGAGGAGGAGGAGGAGGAGGAGGAGGAGGAGGAGGAGGAGGAGGGAGGAGGAGGAGGAGGAGGGGAGGGAGGGAGGAGGAGGGAGGAGGCGGAGGAGGAGGAGGAGGAGGAGGAGGAGGAGGAGGAGGAGGAGGAGGAGGAGGAGGAGGAGAGGAGGAGGAGGACGATGGGAGGAGGAGGAGGAGGGGGAGGAGGAGGAGGAGGAGGGAAGGAGGAGGAGGAGGAGGAGGAGAAGGAGGTTTGGGGCTCTCTTGGGGCCGTCCGGGGATCCTCATGGACCGTCTTGGGGCCCTTTTTGGCCGTCTGGCGGCCCTCTTGGGCCGTTGTCTGCCCCTGTGGGGGGCCTGTGGGGCCGTCGTGGGACGATCTTTGGGGCCTCTTGGGCCGTCTTGGGCCCGTCTGGGTCTAGGTGCCCTCTGAGGCCGTCATGGGACGATCTTTGGGGCCTCTTGGGCCGTCTGGGGCCCTTCTGGCACTGAAAAGGGGAGAACCCGATAAACCTGCAAAATCATGAACCCTCGGATCTCTTCCGTGCCAAGGGACATGCAGGCGCGAAGCGCTACCGATCAAACAACTTTTTCCGACATGGTTGACTGGTGCGGGGGGAAAAGGCAAGGACGGGAGGACGGGGAGGGAGGGGGCAGCGGGAGGAAAGAGTGAGACGCGGGGCGCTGTCTCTTCGAAACGAGGACTCAACACCGCAGGATGGTTGGGAAAAAACACGTGCAAGCCAGACAGGGCCACACGCTTGCTCTGCTATGCCATCCTGCCCGAGCGACCGCTGCAAAGGCTGCGAAAACAAAGAAGTACGGTGCTCGTGGCGGCACCAGCGCGCAGGGCCTTGCACTTGCATCCGGCGGACGGCAGGGGCCGCGGCTGTCGCGCCTGCTGCAGCAGCTGGCGAGCCTCGCCCGGCGCCAGAGCCATCTCCTTGGCTCGGGTTGCGCACGGCCGCCGCTGCGCGACCGGCGGCAGCGGCTTGCCGTCCTCCTGTGGCGAGCCACCGCCGCGCTCGTCTCCTCCGCGACCGCACCGGCGCCCCTACAGTGGATCGCTTGCGCACCTTTGCTCGCGCAGGTGGTCATGTCGAAGCTTGTCCGCACAGAGGAGTCTGAAGCATGAGGGATCGGAGGCGGGGGGGGAGGAGAGGGGGGGGGGAACTAGGGCAAGAAGTACGTAGGAGGAGCAGGGGAGGATCAGCAGCAGCAGGCGGGGACTGGGGACAAGGAGGTGGCGAAGCAGGGCGCGGGGCCATGCCGATCAAGATTGGGCAAATCTCAGGACTTCGAGACTACTCGAGCAGTCTTGGGGCTGTTCGTCATTGGGGACACGTTGAGACCTTTGAGGGTTCATTAACTTGTAGCTGTATGGGGTAATCTTGGGACTACATTGGGGCCCCTACAGGCAGCATTCAAAAGACACCAAAAGCAACCAGCCTCTCAATTGCCCGCGATGTCAAGAGAACAATATGAGAGGCCACCCCGGGCACTCTTGGGGACCATCTGGGTCGTCTCGTGGGTCATCGCAGGTGGCCCTCGGGGATATTGAGGCGTTCCGAAAGCGTATGTAGATCTTTCGAGGCATCTCGTGCAGTCGATTCGGAGAGGCGGCTCTGAAAGTTAGGATGGCAGTGAGTAGCATGTTCCGGCGGGGGGCCATACAACAGGAGAGCGCATTGTCACGGCTCGATGGAATCTTCCGTTCTGGGGATAGGAAAGCTTGGAGAATTTGGGAGCGCATTGTGAGGCGGTGGCGTCGCGCGTTCTGCAAGGACTACTGCTTACTTAACGGAGTTGGGCATCGCTCTTCCATTGGTACGTGTTTGCGGGAGTGTGGCGCCGTTGACGGCAACACCACACCGCTCACCCTCCGGATCTTCGCCTCCGGCTCCCCCGCAGACCAAAAAGTGTTTGCGGGAGTGCGTGGTTACACGCGCATATGTGTCTATACATATACATACATATTTATACAAATAAGTGTATGTGTGTAAATGTACAGCTGTATACGGATGGCACGTAAAACATCTACGCAAGCAGAACGACGTGCATGCTTTAACGGGATCTATCGCCAGTGCTTCGCAGGACATCCTGTCCCACGCGGCCTGCTGGACCCCACCACGGTGGCCTGCTTTTGCTTTCCGAGTGGCCTCCGGCCCACCTCGCCACCGGGCTGGGGTCGTGGACCAGGTGCCTCTCGGGGAGCCCTTGGGGGCTCTACCTGGGCGCCTTTCTTGGGGAGCGACCTGGAGGCTCATTTTGGAGGCCTATTGGGAAAATTGCAGCGGCGGCTTTGGGACCGTTTTCGGCCTCCGGGGGCCCTCGCCGGGCCTCGGGACCGTCAAAAAACGACTCGGGACGACAAACCGGCCCTGTTGAAGTGGTCAGACCTGCGGGGCCCAGGAATCCAGAGGATTGGAGAGGCCGGATGTCTGGAGAGCCTTTTCCGAAGACGCGGGCGGCTTCTCAGAAGGACCCTTCAAGGCCTCGAGAAAGCCTCGCAGTGGCCTCCAGGGCCTCTTTGGAGCGTCTTGGGGGCCCGCTGGTGGTCTCGAGGGCCATCTTGGAAGAGGGAACCTCTCGGGCCCCTTCGATTTCCCCTTCTTGGAGCCGTTTTCGGGGCTGCTTGGATTAGCCGCAGCACATGGCAGCGCAGTCATGATTTCCCAGTATCTGGCTTACCAAGTCCAAGAGAAAGCATTCGATCCTTCCTTGCAGTGGCAGTCTTAATAGGCGTGAGGAGCGTATGTTGAAAACCACCTCCACATCACAGAGAGCAATACAGCACTTTCGCGCGCATCTGCCGTGCAGGGGCCCAGTGTCGGCTGTGCCTTCCCGTTCCCCACCCTCTCTGCCTCCCCCTCTCCTCCTAGCTTTTTCACGCGTCGCGCAGTGCATGCATCCAGGCAAGCCAGAGTCTCGAGGCCACGGGTTCACCCACCTGGTCCGAGCAAGGCCCAGACACTGTCCGCCACGGTGGTCGCATCGCATCGCATCCCTCGCACCTGTCTCCCTCCATTCATTTCCGTGGCCAGCTGGCCCAAGCTCACAGCCTGCCAGTCGATGCTTCGTTCCGGTGGCGGCCAGGCGTCACCGCTTCTGCTCGGATTGGTCCCCACTGCCGAGAAGCATCAGCATTCGACTATCTGGAGTAGCCGCGCAGCTCTGTGCAGAGATGTGCTCCGACAGTGCGCTCACGTGTGGCAGGCCAGTCGGTGTGCACTGACAGGTCGCGTGGCCCACGCTCGTGCCCGTCCCCTCGTGGCGAATGCCGCGCGCCAAGACTTGCTGGCGGGCAGGGGGGCCTTCTGGAGGCGATTCTGCTGGGGGCGGTGGCGTCAGCGAAGAGCCCTCGAGGCTCCGGCCGCAGGAGGCAGGACGGGCGTCGGCGGCGTGGCGTCGGGGTCGGGGCAGCGGCACCAGAGAGCGACTTCCCTGCGCCCCCGGAGTCGGAGCGCGCCTGCGAGTACATTCGGGGAAACGAAAGACTCGGGTACGCCGGACCTCGGGTTTGCCGACGCTTTTTGACGAGCGCGTCCTGGATTCTGACGGTCCACTTTTCGCGGGATGGCTGCAGCGGGAGCTCGCGTCCAATTCCAGATCGGGCCTCGTCATTTGCACGGCGGCCCCGTCGGGCCAGCCCGGGTCCCCCGGGACCCGAGTCTCACGTCTCCCAGATACAGCCGAAGGAGAAAGCACGGCATGAGCATAAGCTGTCGGGCCTCCGCGAGGGTTTCTTGGATGTGCGGCAGAGCCCCTCTGGCGCCGCCTCCAGCGCCGCCCCTGGCGCGCTCCCTGGCGCCGGGGAGGGGGTCCAGCACAGATCCAGGACGTCTCGGCCACACGCAGAGGGGGGGCAGGGGGAGGAGGAGGAGAAGGAGGAGGAGGAGGAGGAGGAAGAAGAAGAGGGGAGGAGGAGGAGGAGGAGGAGGAGGAGGAGGAGGAGGAGGAGGAGGAGGCGGGGAGGTGGAGGAGGAGGAGGAGGCGGAGGAGGAGGAGGAGGAGGAGGAGGAGGTGGAGGAGGAGGAGAGGAGGGAGGAGGAGGAGGAGGAGGAGGAGGAGGAGGAGGAGGAGGAGGAGGAGGAGGAGGAGGAGGGGGAGGGGCGAAGGCTTCTCAGAAGCACCCTTGCTTCTTAGAAGGCGTGGGTCTCGTCCGTAATTAGATGTCAGGCCCGCGCCTTCCAAGAAGCAGCCTCCTTCTAAGAAGCCTTCCCCCCTCCCCCTGCCCCCCTCTGCGCGCCGCCAGAAATCCGCGCGGGCCTCCGAAAGTTGTGTCTATCCCTTTGC